CCGTGCGCGCCATCTACAACGAGTTCCCGCACTTCTTCCTGCCATAGACAACATACATACTCTTTGGTCATTTATAATCTTCGTTTGTCCATAGACAAAGACATTCGTTACAATATCGCCAGTAGAATGTGTCAAAATTGGTCATAGATTAATAATCAGCAGATTAACAGTACATTTCGCATGATTGTTCGCATTTTGAGCAGATCAGTGAAACAACTCACAGCTCTCAATTTGCATTTCGAACTTCTATCTGCTGGCATAGTTATAATACATTGCCGTGAGCTGCAAATTTAGTTGTTGAGCCGTAGCTCAACGGTTAAGATCGTAAACTTCACTTTTCAGCCGGTTTACTCACGTCTAGTCAAAGTATATAGGAACAGATGCATGATGTATCGCCAGTGATTATCAATTCTATGGAATTGTGTGCAAGAGTTTTCTACTAATCAAAAAGATCTAGACGATTGCTACTGTTTGTTGTCGGTCTATTATGCAGAATAGACTGAATATGATAAGATGCATGTTATGGTTTACAAATATTATAACTGTTTTCAACGCCGAATCAAATCGTACCTTCGCGATCTCTTAAAATTTAAATGTTCTGTGGTTTTTTTTTTGTAGTGTCCCACTACATTAAGAAATTACAATGCAATTGAGAATCCTGTCATAAAAGTAGATAGATATAATTATTAACTCCATGAAAATGTATCGGTAATATTTGATATATTAAAAAATGTACTAAAATGACGTACAAGAGTACTAAAGAAACGGCGAATTTCTTACTTATCAAGTGTATACTTAATTTCTACAAAATAAACAAAAACACCCAATAGCGTAACAAATATAAAAATCAGTATTTATAAAGTTTAAATACTTAATCGTAGATATGAAAATGTTTCTCGTATAGACGTTTTCAAATATCTCACCGGCTCAGGACTTCGTACAAGTCGCTTAAAACAATGTCGAGGCGCACATCTTGAGCTATCAAGATATTTGAAAATATTAATACTTTTGTGAAGTTTAAAACTTGGCTGTGTCTAAATATTGTCATTTCAGCATATTTATAGTTATATATTTAATATTACATTGTTAGTTGTTTAAAAGTTAATATTTACTATATCAATATTAATGCCTATATTGCAGTAATTTTCGTCTCATTGTTTATTGCTTAAAAATCATATTTTAAACTATTCTAAGTACGATATAAAATGAAAATTGCTCTTAAATTGCAAATAATGTTAATTAATACCAAAGTGTATGAAAATATTAAATACCTTTACTATAGAAAAATCATATTTAAAATAGCGACCACATAGAGAACTTATTTAGGTGTATGAAGTTTTTCATTCTATATTTTTCATATATACGTATTCTTTTATTTATACCATATTTCTATATATCTTAAATATAATTTTAGTCCCTTTCCACCCTTTTCTTAAAGGATGGGAAGGAAAAGTGGATTTGACGGTGGAGGAGACGCATAGGAAGGGGAAATGTCCTCTTTATGTGCGTCTCCTCCGTCGTATAAGGGTAGGCAACGCATCTGCAATTGCAAATGTCTATGGGCAGCGGTCGCTTTCCATTTCGGTGGATTCAGATGGCCGCTTGCTCGTTTGCCAACTCATATTATAAAAAAGTTTCAATATCTATATATTATGAAAAATATAGAATAAATATTTACAAGTTGATATGCACAATTTATGCTATTAGTTGAGTTTTTATTATCTTAAGTAAGTATTATATGCTTATATTTACATGCAGCTTAAAAGTACATAATATCAGATCAAGGCCTACGATAACTTAGTACAAGTTTTTAGTACTCAAATTACTTAAGTTTGTGTCAATATGCAAGCTATATATATTTTCTTATGGACAATTTTTGTAAGTTTTTTGTTCCTAAATTTAAGGTGATTTTTGGGTTATAGAGTGCCATTTTACACCAAAGATAAAATTATTTTGCTTTTAATTTACTATATTTTTTATTACGGGCCAGTAAAAGTGAATGAAAACTATGGTCATTAAAGAATGAATGAACAGGGAATGAGATGAAATGTTAAAATGCTGTATTTTGAAATAATAGTAAAATATAAATCAATAGAGAATCTATTTTTTCAATCAATGAATGATTTGTCAATTACATTGCGCTTTAATCAGGCATAAAATAATCAATTTCGGCCTAAATCTTATGAAATTATAATTATTGATTACGAATTCTGCGTATTTTAAAGTTTTCTTAATTTTATCTTTTAGCTTTAAAATATATGTGCTTAATTTTAGGGCAAATATAAATGCATTTATTATTTATTCTCCCAAATGCATTTTCTACTATTAACGTATTCCATTTTTTGTACTAAGTCAAGTTTTATTCGGTTTAAATGTTATAAACTAAATTCAGTTAGACACAGCCTTACAAATAAACGCGCTATAAAGTTAAACTTAGTAATAAGCAAAATTTGTACTAATATTAGTGTTTATACTCAGTTTAAATTTATATTGCGTTTATTTCTAAGGCTGTAAGATATATTTACGAATGGTTTTTCAAAGCAATATCTTTAGTATAAAAAATTAAGCATGCTTTATTATACAAATCTAAATGGAGGTACGTACTTAGTGTCACATTTTACTAGTCTAAAATAGATTATATTATAATTCTCACTAGATATGATTTTAAAATAAGTATTTTAGGAACATTTTTAATTAAAAAAAATATATATCTCGAACACTTTAATTCTTTAGATTATCTAATATATTCAGATTTTCTATTTCAATAATCCAAATTCTCAGAGTGAATAAAAATGTTGTCTATTATTAATTAAATATTAGAATAATACATTATTTTTCCATGTTAAGGTGTTTGAAAATTCTTTAAAAAATCAATATGTATTTTTAAAAGTATGGAATATAGTTGGTTTAGATGTTTATAAATTATAATGAGGTTGCTACTTTAACCTTATACAGAATATATTTAATGTTTACTATATATGCATGTTAGTATTATGTCTCAGACAATTTAATAAATTCGGCCTCACTTAAAATTTCTCTCTATTTATGTATTTGTTAATTTTTAAATAATGTTTAATTATATTGTTAATAAACACTCAAATTACGGAATGTTTTATGCTCAAATTGGAAGCCAAATTTTTATGATGTAAATGATCGGTAGCTTTACGGACAATGTATATAATTTTCGCAAAAAAGCCGTTTAAATCACGTAGCGTATGTTATTGAAGCAGTATTGTGTTTAGCTATTCGACCATTTTACCACCTCGAGAGCTACGAGCGTCTTGCTCCCTTAGACAAAGTAACATTCGATTATCGACATCGGTGTTCGAAAAGTCAAAAATAAATATACCGACGAATTGAATACCTCCTTCTTTTGGGAAGTCGGTCAAAAATGAATGGAATTGATAATAACATTCGATAAATCACGTGCTTGTTACGTATTAATTTCTGTATGTTTTAACACATTTTGTCGATTCTACAAGCGACATTGCTAATCGAAAGTCATTTTGTCGAGGGGGCAAGTATAGGTTTAACAGGGTAAGGTGAGACTAATTCGTAGACCTGTATCGCCCCTTTTTGTCCAGCGCCCTGGGCGGTCGCCCTAACACACCCTACTAATGCCAGCGCTGTTCCGTTTACATTGCAAATATATAATTTTTTGAAACGGTGTGACGTCGTCGGTTTTGGATATCATGTAATAATGGACGAATTCTTTTTTTTTTATTAAGGCGCTGCTGTAGCAAATTGCGCATCTTTGGCAGCTTGGAACAGGAATTCTACAGATTGATTCGTGATATTTCAGTATGTGTTTTATTTATTTATAGGTCTCTCCTGTCTCGTTTTTCTTATAAAGATGGTATATCGTTTTATTAGCGTCTCATATTATATTTTTAAAACATTTTAAGCACTTTTAAATAGCTATTAAGAATCTTGCAAAAGTTAATGTTAAAAAGTACATCTTGAATGTAATTGTGTGCTCTCATGCAAAAGTTTATGCTAATAATTTAATATTGCACGTTATTCAATTTATATTGTTAGTTGATATTGCTCGAAATGTCTGAATTATTAATATAGAGAAAAATTATCTTTTCATAGTTGTGATCTACAGAAATAAAAATATATTCAATTATCAGAGTTGTTTAATTCATATTATAAGGAATAATAGAAATTTTTTTGGTGTGGCAACATTTCCGCGAAGTCGGGCATTTGCTCGCGGGCTCTGGTAGCGTCAAGACGTGTCAAAGTGTTCGGTACATTTTGAGGTTGCAATTGTAATAAGTGGTTGATTCCTTGTTCCTCCCAAGTTATTCTTGTAAAATTACTTTAAAACAGATAGATTATGTGTTTAATCAAATGATCGCCATCTCGTAATTCTTTTTTTTATTAATATTCATTCGTAGTTGCTAAAATATTTATAAGACCTTTGTTCCAATATGTCTTTCTATATAAAATCGCGAGCAACATCTATAGGTAATAATCATCGTCCTCCTTATCATACTACCGTAAGGTCAGTGCAACGGGTTTTTGTCCTTCACAAAACTATCATACGTCATCGCAGTCATCACTCCCTTTTTGATCATGTCGCCTTTCACGCAATCCATCCATCTCTTTCTAGGTCTACCTCTACCGGTGTACAATATCTATAGGAAATATAAGGGTGAAATAAAACAACTTATTCCATACATGTATTTTAATGTACCATTATGATTGTACCTATAAATATTTAAAAATGTAAAACAGTGATAAAATTCATAATAACCAATACAACTGTTAACTCAACTAGGATTGCGAAATTATATTTCAATTGCTTAACGAATTTCGAAAATAATGTAATAAGTATTTCGTTATCGTTCGTATGCAACACCGGGTATAACGTTTCATAATATCCTAAGTTACACACAGGTACTGTAATAATTCTCTTGGTGCATTAGAGCGAGCACACCTTGACTAAACTATCGCACAACTGTTTAGTTTTGATTCCTACGAGCTTATATGGAGGTGGCACTACTCGAATTTTAGTTATGCAACCAAACGATAATTGTGCGATAGTTTATTCAAAGATGTGCGCCCACTCTTGTTTCAAAGTTCCAATTTCAAATCTGTGAACTATTTGACAGTTGTACAGGGTATATGGTCAAAAGTTGGCCCCATATCCAATAGGGATCACAACAATTTGAATACAAAAGTTTGTAAACACTGGTCTGTCGGGAAGTCCACCTTTAGAGCTAAGTCCTAATACAGTCTTTGATGGATTGTATATGTTCAAAAACTCTAAGCCCACGGGTCATACGGAATGCAATTTTGTGTAAAATGGAATCAAAAGTCATTTTATTATAATTAATAGAAAAATTACTCAATTTATCACACAAGGAAATAATACAAAGGTACCTCCCGTACAATACATTGAGCAGTATCCTATAGTTATACATAACATGCTACGTGTCTGTAATACACAGTAATAATTGATTATAACAAATGTTACCACACTATTATCGAATTTGGCAACTGTCATGAACACATATAGATTATATTTAAAAATAAAAAAAACTAACTTTACGATTTTTCAACGCCGCATTGTTAATGACACATTCATGTCGATATTCAATTAAGGACGAATCAATCAGTAAAATTAGTTTTCTTATTTAATATTAGCGTATAAGAAACCACTATTATAACACTGTTAATTCTTTATTCATGTTCTTTTCGTGCTGATTGCCACATTACCAAGTACTTACAATATTCTTCTAAAATCCAATATGTAATTAACCGATTATCATTAAACATTCAAATGTCAACTACAAATCAATCACAAACTACATCTATCAAACACTCGCACATTAAACTAAATTTATATACAAATTAAATCTAAATATCTTAATTATTGAAAACTACATTAGTCGACATCCAAAAAGTCAGTAGAAATCGTACCTTAGTATGCGCACGGCTACTGATTTTGTTCGAGTATAATTGTAATTTAAACACATTCAGAACTGTGTAATGGTTATAAAATTGAATAACGTTAAATTTGATTATTCCTCATGCCACTTCTAGGTTTGTTCCTCGAATGACTACAGAACAATGACTGGAATGGACTCGAAATGTTAATTATATTTTATCTGAATTAATATTTAAAATATAAAACTGGGATTACGGTTCAGATAAAAATTAAGCAATACATTGTGCTGAAAAATTTTAATTTAGAAATTATTTTAATAATACCAATCTCAATAATTTAGCAAGACGGAATCAACTCACAGTAATTATAATTAAAATGGTTTTTAAATTACACAAACGCGGTGTATTCAAAAACGATATTTTTCATGTGTTCTGTTTTGGTTCGGTCTACTAACCATACAAACTTGCAATTTCTTCAAATACTTATGCACACAAATATCCATATACTATTATAACCTTTATTAACGGTTATATTTAAATGCTTTAACATTTAAAATATTGATTGTTTAGATTAACACATATATTAATTAAATATTTTAGTGAGAATCCACAAAAAATCATGGGATATAAATAGAACTTTAAAATATAACAATAATTGTTATTCCAATTTTACATTAATAAATTAAAATAGTATGTTGTAAAGAACCATTTTTGTTTATAGACAGTCGTTTAATACTTTTGTAAACGATAGACTTCAAGTCAAGAGTTACTTTAGATCTAGATGTCCACATATCTAGAATAGCCGTAGATAGATTCAGATACCTATTTCCTACCAACATGATACATACCAACATGATCGAGTAACCATTTAAGTTGTGCGATTTCATCTTTTGGATTTTAAGATATGCAACCATAACTAATGTTCAAAATGTTTGTTATACTCATGGATGTAATGAATAACGTCTACTTTTCAGTTAGGTTTGGCAAGTTCGTAATAAGGTAAACTACTCAGATATTGACCACTCTAGACTTGAAATCTATTGTATGACAAATCATCTCGTATGTGTCCAAAAGTCGTTCATGGTCGTCGATGTAGCGGTTGAGGCGGTCGTTGGGCGCTTAGCTGGGGTGCTGCGCAACTGGCCGCAGTCGGTAGCCGCCGGTGCCGCGCACTGTGTACAGCACCAGAACAGCCACCGCCACCACCGACATCCCGATGGCGTTGATCACAATCGCCTCTTGCGACATCGATGCATACGTATCGCTCCTGTACACCGCATGCCCCAAAATTTAAATTTTTACAAGCATTTTACAATTTTATCTATTGCCAAATCGATTAACTCTACAAACCTTTTTAAACACCATGAAGAAATAAAAATTATGATAAATTATTACTCTTGTCTTTAAAATGAGACATTTTAAATACACAATATATCACTTTATTTTACTTTTAATTGTCTAAGAAAATCGATTTGGCACTTCAAGTGATCCTAAAATAAAAGCTGGTTATGTATTCCCTATGTTACCCAATAATTAGTAAAAAAATTAGAGACATTTCAATAATTACAGAAGCAATTTAAATATTAGTATTTCCAAACTGTTAGATATCAAAAACCAATACACAGAATAAGTTAGTAAATATTACATGCTGTGAAAGAACGTAACTAAGTAAATCATTTTCAATTCATGTCACAGATAATTAAATTAAACATTGAATTTAGTACGCGGTTTTATCAAGCCAGTCGAAATGTCTGTTAGAGTAATTAAATATTTGTCACAAAGCAAGTAGCCTTAATGATAATTACATGCAAATACCCTTGACATCAAATCTCAATATATCCTAGATAAAAATGTAAAAGTAAATATTTTACATCATGACAAGAGAAACAAATAACTAGAAGCACATAAAAAAGCAATGTTACATGCAGGTATACAATCTAAGCTACATGCAGTTAAATGTGCAGATGAAATTAAAAAAGTAAAAGCCAAATTATAACTTAAGATTACTTTATTTTTATGTAACAAAACATATTTATCTTAGATATCATTCCTATAATGGAATGTATGGCCTTAAATTATTTTCTTTCGTGTATTTTTTTACCTAAATCATATTAATACGGTCTGATTTGGTCTGATACAGACCAAACCTGCAATGAGCCTCCTTCATTATAACGTTTATTATTTAATATACATTCTTTTACCCTTCAGAAGTTATCTCTTGACTGATAAATAAGTTTTACCAATATTTCTAGAACCTAATAATGTAAAAAGTTAAATAATCTAAAAATGTATTACAAAGTCAAACTTAATTTACCTGCAGTCCTACTGTTTAAGTAATCATTAGAATGATATGCGCCCTATATATCAGTCAGGTAACAAGCTACTTTAATATAGGTAAATTAAAATATTAAAAAAACTGTATTGCAATTGCAAGACCTCGATTTTTATAAGTCTAAACAAAATGTTATTAGCTAATAATGATCAGCGATGTGTAATTAAATTACTATTTAAAAATAGCATCACGCTGATATCTTAGCAAAATTAACACTTGTATGTAATCTGTGTGAATTATGATTCTGGCAACATTTCATCCATAGCCTGTCTATGGTTTTGTCTATGTTTTAAAGGTCTACTGAAGCTCGTATGTGTTCGCGAGATGCTGCCGTGCGGAACTTGTCCCTCGACAGAATGTACATGACCACTGCTAGGATGGCGATGGAGGCAACTCCGATGGCATTGATGATGACTCCTTCGTCTGGCAGCCCACTGTACCTCTCCGCGCTGTGGATACGCACACGTTCAAGCAACGAACACAATGACAGTACACATGTATAAGGTGAAAATGACAAATTAAAAACGTGGCCACACAAAAAAGCTAAAAGGTAATTTAGATTGGAATAACAAATGAGTGTCAACGTATAATTTTCAAGTATGCGGGTCACAAAAGGAAGAGCAAATATTGTAACAAGTGGAATCCAGTTCATTAACCTTAGCTACGAATTTCTGCTACCAAAAGATTCATACAAAAAGTATTGTCATCGCCCTCATTATTACAATAAAACTGAGATAGCAATATTTATGAATAAAACAAATGAACCACGACGAGTAGTTGATATTTGGTCAAAAAGAAACATATAAAGCCAATTGAGTTTCAAACTTTCGCTTGTTATAACACTACTAAACATAATTTGCAGACAAATTAACATGCAAAAACATTCCCATTCAACATTCATAATGCAAAACGAAATAGAAGTATTGCTATGGTTATAGCTTTTTAAAAAAATTGCGGTTTGTACTTACCCAAGGGTGAAGATGGCCTTTTCAGTAAGACCGGTGAGGCAAGCAGCGACGCCGAGGACAAAGGTCAGGACACCGAAGGCAGCGTGCACCGGCACGAGTGAAGCGCGAAAGCCAGCGGTACCCTTGTTGCAGATCAACAGCAGAAGGAAGCTGAAGAAGCCGACTGCGTACTGGAAATATTATCCACAATTTAACGTAACGATTTTAATAACATGGCAACGAAAATCATTCACATAGTTGAGATAAGCCCGTTAAATTTTACGTAATGTAACAATCACTCTCCTAGGAACATTTCCTAAAAGTAAAAAAGCAGAATGTCTATTCTATTCTTTTTTCAAACATTCTACTTTACTTTCTGGCTTACCTGAAGTCCAAACAGTCCCATAGCGACAAAGCCAATCCAGCTGTGCAGAGAGTAAAAGTTGTTGATGCCCTTTTTGTTGTGGTAGTCGAGGACGGCGAGGAAGCCGATTACGATGCAGGGGAACGCGAGCGCGTGGAAGATGGCATGCAGCAGCTTCACGTAGATACGACGGAAGCAGCGGCAGATGCGGTACAACAGCACCGCTGCGAACATACAAAAAATAATACGTTACCTTAATATCTATCGGTTTTAGTACGTTTTATTGGCCCTTAGTACATGAGATGCCCAGGGAACTCAGATATCGGAATTCTGGGCAAGATTCATAGACAATGATTTGCTTAGTTAATAATTCAATTCCATTAGAAATCTTGATTATGGCTTTTCCGTTGAAGCTATTTCACTAGTTTTGTTTGAAAAATACTTGAATAGGCTGACAATTCAGTCAGACAAATCTAACTACAATAATCCTGAATGATAATTTCTAAGAATCAGTTACTTACAGAAACCGCTAAAAGTAATGAAGCCAGCAACCATCAAGGTGGGATGCAGGTTGAACTGCTTCTCGGGGATGTCATCAGCCCAGGCATAGCCCTCCCGGTAGAAGAATACCCAGAATACGGTGAGGGCGGAGACACCGATGAGCAGGATGGTAGCGAGCGTGATGACCAGCGCATACTCGCACCACTCGCATGCGCCTCGTTCATGCTCGTCCGAGTCATATGAGCGGCTGCGTTGACTGTAACAGTAAAGGTACACGTTATAATCTCACTTTAAAGACATTAAAGCATCTTTCCGCTCTTATCTTGCGGGCTTTTGAACCACAACGTGATGTATAGAAAATACTGTCGCGCAGCATTGATCGTAATAAGCCCAAGAGTAAAATGCTTAAAAACTAATACCTGAAGCTTTATTTTAAGCTCTAATTAGAGCTTAAGACATTAGATAGTTTAAGTTGTTGTGACCAGAAACCTGTCGTAGGGTATTTTTAAGACGCGTTTGTACTAACCGCTTGTACACAATGCCTCAAAAGAACTCGCCTTCCGTGCCTTAATCAAAGAATTGTTGAAATCTACTAACCAGAAAACCGCAGCTTCGACAGTTACATATGCACACAAAAGCACGCATATACATGATGTATGTGAGCACAATTGTTTAATTTCCTACACAATGCAAGCGTAGGTGTGAATATATATGGACGCTTGTGTGCACTAACTTCTGTAGACAGATGTAAGCTCATGTTGCGTTGTAATGGGCCCGTGCAGACCGCACAAGGGTGTCAAGTAGCGTGAGATTATTGAGACGACAGCGCCGGATGCTCTCGGCATGACAGCTCTGGGGGCGTAGACACGAAGCGAGAAAAAGCGACATTTAACTACTTTATAACACGCGGGTCGTGTGAACAGCATTTAAATATAATTAGCGAAAGTAATGAGATTATAACTACACTAGCTGTTGCCCGCGACTCCATCCGCGTGGAATTAAAAAAAACAAAAGTGAGTAGCCTGTGTTCTTCCAGGCTATCCTCTACATCTGTACCAAATTTCACCGAAATCCGTTCAGTCGTTTAGGCTACAAACTCTAATAAACATCTATACATCCATCCATCCATCTACACTTTCACATTTATAATGTTAGTTCGATAAATAAGTCAATCTTACACCTCTGTTGAAAAAAACCCTAAACCAGAATAACAACGCTAATGAGTTTGTAAATTAATAGCTTTGATTGGATTAACCATGTTGACATGTCAGATTTGTGAGCATTTACATAAAATCAATGTTACCTGCAGCTCACTTCATAATTGATCTTGTTAACGATCTAACGTAAATGGTTATATGATAAGTACTCGTAAGTATTTGTACTATTTTTTTTTATAATATTAGGTGGCAAACGAGCAAGTGGCCTGAATCCACCGAAATGGAAAGCGACCGCTGCTCATAAACATCCGCAATTGCAGATGCGTTGCCTAACCTTAATTATCCCTTAAGAGACGCACTGAAAGAGGACATTTACACTTCCTAGGCGTCTTCTCTACCGTCAAATCCATTTTTCCTTGCCATCCTTTCCACTTAAGAAATGGTTGAAAAGGGAAAGAGACTAAAATTAGGCCTCCGGCACCACACTCGTCAGACGAAACGCGGAATTGCTTCCACTTCACGCTTGTTTTCTGTGTGGTCGTGGTATTACAACGAACCGGCCCATTCATGCGAAGATGTTAAAGCGGGCTCTACCACTGCTCTACTAAGTAAAATTCTCTAAATAATAACTCTCTTGCAGTACAAATTTACTAAATAGAATAGACTAAGTAATTAGCTTGATCGAGTAATGTTAAACGTTGCTATAGCCTATAAAGACCTACATAACATGACAACAGAAGATGAGTTGCCGACCAATAAGCAAATAAACCGAGCTTAGTGTTTATATCTTGTCACGAAATTATGACGTTTACGGTCTTGAATCAAGCATAAAAGTTACATCTGTTTGTTAGCGATTAAAATTTGCATAAACTCAAGGTTAAAATGTAAATACTTAAAATGGACATAGGATATTTTAAATCTGAAAATCACTCTTCATTAAACACGATAAGTCAAGTGACCTTTAAAATTGTTATAAATAAGAACAACCTTTCCACGGTATTTTTATACAACACAATATACCAGCGTTTTCTATTAAGTTACATTTCGTATAAATAGACAAGACCATTATATAGATTTATCTAAATCTAATTATTATAAATGTGTCATAAACAAATCACTTTTTTTAAATGTAAGTGTGGTAACGCGACTTGTGTTATGCTAGGTTGCTGAAGTTACTATTTATTTTATCACTAGGTGTTGGTCGCAACTTCGTACGCGAGAAATTAACGTATTTTACTCAGTGATAACTTAAGCTTTTAATGGTGAAAGAATGTTTAAAATGAAATGAATGTTTGTTAAAATGTTTGAAATTTCAATACATACAAAAATACAAATCTTTCCTCTTTATAATGATAGTATAGACATTTTATCATTACGTAGTGATTCATTAGAGTAAAACTCAAGTTATGTATTCAGAGACGCAATTCATGAAGTTCGAACCAAACACACTAACGAATGGTTAAATGTAGATGGGAAACCGGCTATGAGACGTAAAGTGTAAAACAATGCGATGTATGTCAATGGCGCTTTAACGCGGTGAAAGTCCAATAGAGGAAGCGTAGCTTGCGTCTTTCTCAATCGTATAGTAAGAAACATTCAGTAGTAATCCACATTTTGTTCGCTTCATCGGCAAAACAAGCCCCAAACCGGTACACTATCTTATTTAAATAAACATTTTATCTTTACATTTTAAAGTGAAGGACGCAATAAAGTAATGTAAATTTGTAGACTTCAAGCAATTTAATTTATCACTATCACTAATTACTTACATACACTGTGCCGACCCTCCTTAGGAACAAGAAGTACTTATTTTAGTTTACTAAAAGTTTTAGTAGATGTAATGTACACGTGGAGGCTTACATGAAATCCATGTTTATGGCTTATGATTAGTAAAGATTTCTATTCGTGAAATAATTGTTATCAGTTGTGTGTTACAAACATTTCTATTTAAGTATATGATCACAAATGATGACAAAGCACTGAATACCTTCCCGAAAAACTTATTAGGGACCACCCCCATAAATGCATGCTATGTACAGTAACAGCTAAAGAGGATCGACTTATAGTGTTTACCCTTAAATGATATAAATACTCAGGTTAAATCCTCGGATAAATAGCTAATCAGTTTTACATGGGCATTGCAACTGCAAAGTGGCTCGTGATAGGTCAGTAGGGAAAGTGGACGAAGGTATGTTAAAGCTGTTACGGCTTACGGTTCTCCAATTCTGGCAAACGCGTTAGCAAACATGTTTCTGGAAACTCACAGATATGCAATGGATTTGCAACAGGTAAAAGTTTATTGATGAATGAATTTGGATCCATAGCGCATTTAGTACATTGATTTTATTAAAAAAATCAAATAAAAAAGTTAGAATTGAACTAACACATTTAAATTGTTTTTTTTTTATTAACAACCAACTTCATTTGCTTCATCAATTTCGAAATCTTAACGATTCCGTATAATTCTAATATGAAAATGTAAAAGTTTGACACGGCATCACTTTCACTGGATTAAAAATCGCATGTATTGTAAAGCAAAAGCAAAAAGAAAGAATTTAACGTCTGACACCGTTGAACGGGAGAGTCGATAAAAGTTTTCTAACGTTCAAAGAGGCGACGGCGACGGACGATCGTGTATTCTAGTGAAACTACTTCGGATGAATCGTGCAATGGCCCGGATAGGAGAAACGTGGCAGAGTACAGCGCAGGGTCCAAAGACGAAGGGGGAGGGCGGTAAGGGGGAGGGTCGGTCAACGACCCCGTCGGCCGTGCCACTCCTGGCCTACATGGGATGCGAACAGACCACATCTCGGTAATTAACGACCTATATAACTGAAACAGACTTTAAAGATGTTCTGCGATAGATTCGATCTAATTTTAAGTTCAGAAATCGTTTAAACTAGTCACTAAAATGATGCGTTTCTGGTTTCAAAAGCAGAGAAATGTAAGTATCAAGTAAGTTCAATATTTTTAATAAAGTATCGTGTTTTTTTTTGCACGAGACATTCACATCGTCTAGTAGTGTAAAACTTTGTTAGTGAACATGACTTATGTAAAACGTAAACTTTCTTTAGAAATGTGTCAGAATGGAGAACACAGTGCAATTATCAGAAAACAAATCGAAAAGAGACGCATAAAATAAAGAACAATAAATTCAATCAAATTGGTTGTTGATTGAAATCGATTAGATAAAAGATGCAAACAACTTGTTTCGATAACTTTATGTAACCGTATTGAAAAACGAATCTCAATACTCAAGCCATTTCTTCACTCTAACAATCTATGCCTTTGAAATCTTTTCAAGTAAATCTTATATAACAGTTGGCAGCAGTACCGTAAAATTAACTATACATTCATTGGGGAAGTTTACAAAACTCCTGTACATTGCTTGAGCACTCGGAGCGCAGTAATTGCCGTGTCAATCGGCTGAGGACTTTGTAGAGGATAAAGTACTTCTAACTTTGGCCTCTATTGCAATTAAAACAAGTATCATTTTGTTTTAACAAGCATTTGAAATAAAACGGAATAGTATAGCAAGCTGGAAAGTTTAATTCATTAGGAACGTGGAAAAAGGAGCCAGTTAAATAAAAGTCAACTCCCGGTGTTTAAAAATGTCAATTTTGATTAAATTCTTTATGTTTCGAATAAATATAAATATACGAAGGGGCTAATTATTTTGTTTGAAGTAATAGTGTAAAATTTATTGAACTCTGAAGAAAACATCTGTAACTATTATATTTCAACAAATTTAGGGTCATAGTTTTTTTCGTGGTTTTCAAAATTATAGGATCTCTCGCAATTATTTCTTTATTAAGAATAGTATAATTTTGCAATACTATTTCGTATGCGAGCTGTCTAACAGTTAAAGTAAAGTTTACAGTTACTAATAGAGGTTTCAATTACAGGTACCAAGAAAGGTGACCATAAAAGGTTCAACAGTAGACAGCGACATCTGTATACCTTATCGGGATAAACACAAAATGTCAAAGAAAAACATCGAGTGTAATAAAGTCCAGTCATTTGTTTAATTAAAAAAACATTTTGTGTGTCTCCTATATACGAAAGTTAGACATATGAATATTAAAAAGCGCCTGTTTAT